GGAAGGGTATCCCTGGGGGGCAGGTAAGCATCCTGACTGATCCCTTTAGGTAGCAAAGGAAGTGACATTACACCAGGCCTTGCTGCGGCTGACCCAGTACCAGACGGATCTCCTTCTCACCTTCAATCAGCCCCCGTAAGGAGGGAGAATAGGTGGAAGGAAAAGGCGGGTGACTGGCCATGTCTGGGTCCCCAGGAGAATAGGGCCGGGAGGGGCAGAGCAGGGAGACTGACTGGTGGGGTCCTCAAAGGAAGTGAGAGAGAGGGCCAGAGATTTAGGGTTTCAGATACCCAGGTTTCCTAGGGAACAGGAAGTGGGAACTTCCCAGCCTGGGCCTAGATGATGTTCTCTCTCCATCTGTTCCCCCAAGCCCTGAGAACAGGTCATCTCTTGGCCCTGAAAATCTGTCACCCCCACCTTGGAGCCTGGGTGACTTTGAACAACTGGTGACCAGTCTGACCCTTCACGATCCCAACATCTTTGGTCCCCAGTAGAGATGCTGAAGCACCGTGTGATGCTGCTGAGGACTTAGGGGCCCAGTAATGCAAGGGGGACAAGGGGTTGGATATCTGGGTTTCCCCTTATTCCTTCCCTATGCATAAACATAAGACGCCTCCACTCTGCAGAAATAAACTTGCTTTATAATCAATATAATCTCTGTGCCTTTGAATCTAACAGGACAGCTGGGTCACCCCCCATTCCCTTTGGTCTTGGAGGGGGGTGTTTAAAGCTGTGCATGGGAGCAGGAGGGACCCAAGGCCAGCAGTGCAAGAAGGAGGAAATAACACTTTGGAGTGACTGGCTCAGCCCTGAGAGTGGGGTGTAAAGTGTACAAGGGGTGGGGAGGGAAGCCACAACACCCGAGGAGAAAGGGAGGGAAACTATCCCTTGTAGTGATTCAACCCTGAGAGAACAGACAGGGAGTGGGGTTGGTTGTCCCCCTCAACAGATGAAAGGTCACCTGGTCAGAAGTCCCCAGGACCTAATCGTGGAGGCAGAAGTGTCCAAGGAGTGCTGATTGGTGGAGGTGGGGGAGTGGCTGTTATTTGGTGTACTTGTAGTAGATGGAGCGCAGCTGATCCCAGAAGAAGAGGGAGAGGATGGTGTGGGGGCCCAGGCGGAAGTAGGAGGCACCTATGCCCTTGTACATGCCAAAAATGCCCTCCGTCCGAGCTGTCTGCAGCAGAGCATCCAGTATCCCCCGGTATATGAGACCCTGAGAGCAGGTTAGGGAGGGAGAGAGAGCATGAGGAAGGAGTTTGTCAGAGACGGACGGGCCTCACCTGCACCCACAACCTGCTTCCCCCCGCCCGGCTTCCCCTGCCTGCCTGCACCCCAGAGCACTCACTTACCTTGCCCCCAGCATCTGTGGGCTGGTTGTAGAGTCTTGTACTGGCCACGTCAAAGGGTGTCATGGCCAGGACCACCACAATGCCACTCACCATGGCCGCCGCCAGAGCCGCCTTCCAGCTCTGGGAAGGAAACACCTAGGAGGGGAGGGAGAAGGAGCTTTGTCAATCAGACAATTATTCAACACCTAGGACAGGATAGGTCTTGTGCTGGGCATACAGTAGAGAGTTGGTGGCTTACACTCCACCAGGTATAACACAGTGTGATAAGCTGTGAAGGAGGAAGGGCAGGGTGCCCTGAGGACTTAGGTGTACCTTCTGGGAGGAAGTGACAAGAGAACTGCCAAGAATTGACATGAGTCAGTGACCCCCAACCCTCCTGCTACTCCCTCACATTTGAATGTTGGCACTGCCCCCTCTAGGGTCCACCTCAGCTTGCCCTCCCCTCCCCCATTCCCAGGAAAGCCCACCCCTTTCCCCGGGCAGTACCTCCCACTGGGTTATGAGGTCCTTGGTGGATGAAAAGGTGCACAGCTGGGTGGAGGAACCGACGATAACTCGGGGCAGGCAGCCCAAGGACCCGCGCCACAACCCCACCAGACCATGTTTCTGGCCAATCTGGGTTAGCGCCTGAAACATGCCCTGGTGGGGGGAAGACCACGGGGGCAGGGTTCAGTCGCCCCAGGGTCAGGATCACCACCTCCTAACACTGCCAAGGATGGGTCCATAACAGGCACCCGTTGTCTAGACAACCAGTTCCATGTGGGTTTAGAGCTAGAAAGTGGCCCTTCAGTTGTCTACCACCCCATTGTTCCCTCCTTCCCTACCCTCAGAATAGGGACAAGGTGTGCGGAGATGAGGACATTAGCAGGTCGGGAGAATGGGGTGGGAGAAACAGGTGCAGAAGACTAGAGGGACTGGGTTACATGTTGGTAAGAGGGTCTGAGTGGACTTTATGGGCAGAGTGGGGCTGAACTGAGCCAGGCAGAGCAGTGGCTGGGATTGGAGCTGTCTGGTACATGCAGAAAGCTGGGGGGAAATGGGAGAGAATGGGCAGGGACAACAGCTGCGGGGCTGGGAAATCCTCACCTGATGCTTATACTGGTATCCTACTGCAATTTCTGAGGCTGCCTGGGCCTGTAGGTGTGTCTTCACCTGAGGACAAGAGCGTGTCACAGCCTATACCCCAGTGGCCATGCTGCCATTTCAGAAATGCAAATGCTTGACCCCTCACACTTCCTCTAGGGTGCCCAGCAAAGAATATCCTTTTAATCTGATAATTATTGTTATTCCCACTAAACAAATTGGTCATGAGACTCTGTCCCTTGGCTCCAGTCCCAGGGGATGGATCTTAGCACAGCAAGACACCCTACCCCCCTCCACATCCTCCTTCCTTTGGGGGTGGGAGAGGGGAGTGGAGAGGCTGGAGAACAGCAACATTTCCTAAGACTGTTTCCCTTAGGTAAGACCTGGGTATCCAGCCTTTCACGCCAGCTGCTGTTCCCAGACCAGATCTCCAGGTTCCCCATCAGACTTGGCGGCAGGTTATGAGGGTTCATCTGCAAAACTTGGCCACGGGAGGAGCACGTGTCTGACTGACTTTGGAGAAGAGTTCACTGTCCCTGAATCTCACACGCTGGGAGTGAGACTAGCCTGTCTCCTCAATGTCTTTCCAGGCGCACTAAGCATGGCCTAATCTTAGAAAAAGGAGCCCTAGTGGCACAGTGATTAAGCGCTTGGCTGCAAACTAAAAGGTCGAGGTTTGAACCCACCAGCTGCTCCATGGGAGAAAGATGTGGCAATCTGCTTCCGTAAGGATTACAGCCTTGGGAACCCTATGGCGGCAATTCTACTCTGTCCTATATGGTCACTGTGAGTCAGAATCGACTCGAAGGCAACAAGTACAGGTAGTCCTAGCAATAATCAGCTGTGTGACCTTGAGCTAGTCACTTCCCCTCTCTTCACCTCAGGCTCCCAGCCCTTCACCTACACCAGATGACTCAAAGGGGCAGCCTGTGAGGCTGTAATTCTGCAATGCCCAGGACGTCCCCCTGATCCCTGTACTCGCTGATGTGTGTTATTCAAATTCCTCATCCTCCGCTACACAAATCCACCTCCAACCTCAATATCAGGTATTAATAATAAAATAGTAAAAATACTATCAAATTGCTTACTATGTGCCAGGATTTGTACTCGTGCTTTACACGTGCTATCTCATTTGTCTCAGTTCTCCTCATAATCACACAAGAAGGGGACTAAAATTATTCCCATTTTTACAGATGTGGCAAGTGAAGTTTAACAAAGTTTAACAAAGCCAGGATCTGAATCCCAGAAAGGCTTGTTCCACAGCCTATAATCTCAATGAACACATCAACTAAATCCATTGGATGGGTGTGTATAGAGCAGATTGGAAGACCCCAAAGCCTTTCCTGATGCTGTCCCCTACTTGCAGTAGGGCAGCATCCTGCCACTTATGCCCTCGTGAAGGCCCAGGCCCCACACTGCACCAGGGGTCTTCCCTGAAGGTCCCAGGCAGAATCCCTCTTCTTACCATATAGATGGGGCTCCCCAAGTAGGCTCCCAGGACCCCAGCCAGCGCCCCAGCTGCTGCGCTGCGGGCAGGGCTGTGAGTGCCTTCTGCCGTGTGCAAGTAGCCCCGAGACTCAGCCAGCCCATACGTGCCCAGTCGGATGCCATTCATCAAGAACTGGTATATGAGGGCAGGGGCCAGGCCCTTCTGCAGGGCGGCCAGGCCATCCACTTTGCCGATAGTGATGAACGCATGGAAGACATTTCGGTAGTGCCGCTGGTAGCTGCCTGGGGCCTGCAGCTCTCCCTGCAACTGCATCCTGGTCTTCACCACCTCCAGGGGGTTGGTGAACACACAGGCTCCGCACGCTGCCAGGCCACTCAGCAAGAAGTCCATGCTGGGGTAGTGGTGGCAGGAAGTGGCCCAGGAGTAAGAAAGTCAAAATGAGCCTCAGAAAGGGGGTGGGAAGTCAGGGGAAGACCCCAGTTTCAGCAGTCCAGGCTGCAGGAGGTAGGAATTTAGAGGTCTGGAGTCAAGAGTGCCAGCCAAATGTCAAGCGGTCAAGGGTTAGCTGGAATTTGGGTATCAGGAGTAGGCAAAGAGGGAAGAAATAGGGGTTTAGGAGAGTCTAGTGAGAAGGCCCTGTTAGTCAAGAGGCTTCAGGTTAAGGAGGAACAGGAGCCAGGAGGGTGGCAGGTGGGATGCTTAGGATGGCCGGCTACGGGGGCCAGGAGTAGGGGAGGCAACCACAGAGTTGGGAGATAGGAAAGCGGGGAGGAAGGAAAAAGAAAACCAACAGGTTAAGGAGGAAAAGGATCCGGAAGGGAATCCGGTGGTGTCCCCAGGACAGCAACGAGATCTCGAACCAGGAAGGAAGTGGGCGCTCCAGCCAGGGATGAGTGTCCTCAAGCAGCTGCGGGCGCCCGCAGCAGCTCCGCCAGGGGCCGCCTGCGGAGGCCGGGCGTCCACGCTCCGGTCACTGTAGCGCGGCGCCCAACCGGGAGCCTCCGGGAGCCACAGCCAAGAACCTCAGCCAATCAGCGCTGAGCCGGCTTCGCGGCCAATGGGAGGTGCCCTGGAGGACCCGGCCCCCGGAATCGACTGAGAGGCGGACAGAGTTAACTCTCCCCGCTTCAGCACGAAGGCTGGGCCTCGGCTGCGGACTCGGAGCTTCGGGTGTGCTGCCCCCGGTCGTCGAGGTTTTTTTCACGGGCGGGGAGAGACGGTTGGACCCTGGAGTCCTGGACGGTCCCAGAGGCTGAGCGCGGAGGCAGCAGTCTCTTATGTTTGGGGCTACTTCTCTTCCTTTTCGCCTTCTCTCCTGGGTCATGGCTCGGAGGGGCGGCCTGCTTGGTTCCGGCGTCTCGCGAGCCCGGAAGCTGCAGCCCCCCCCCCCCCCCCGCGGCATGAGATGGGATGTACCTACTACACGGGACACATCTCCAGAGGCTGTGTAGAGTGTTTGTAGGTTCTAACGCCAAGGAGGGTGTGGGAGCAGAAGGAGGGAGGCCTGAAAGATGGCGAGGAAGTGTGGTCACATCCCTAAGCTCTTGATCCTCACAGCAACCCGGAGTGGAAGGCAGGGCAGGCCAGGACGTTTTGATCACTTCTACAGCTGGGCTTGGGTGGTGCAAACGTTTTGCGCCCCACTACTGACCTAAAGGCAACCTAAAGGTTGGCAGTTGGAACCCACCCGGAGGCACCCCTGAAGAAAGGCCTGGAGGTCTGCCTTAAAGATTACAGCCAAGAAAACCCTATGGAGCAGTTCTACTCTGTAACACGTGGGGTCGACATGAGTCGGAATCCACTAGATGGGAACGTGGGATTTTCTAGCTAGGCTTAGGTTACACAGGGTTAGCAAGAGGTAGGAAGGATCCTGACATTCAAGATTCCTGTCCTTGCTGATGAGTCTGGGCATGGTTAATCACAGAAGAACTTCGGAGACAAGAGACTAGGGAAGGTAGCTGGAAAGGGGTTGAGGGAGAAAGCTTGGAGAAAGAAGGAAGGAGAATAGGGGTGTCACCTGGGGCAGGAGGAGGCAGAGGGCTCACCTATGTGAGAGGCAGCCACCAGACTTTGGGTCTTCCCAGCATGACCTTCGGCAAGTTACTTAACATCTCAGAGCCTTTTCTTTTGCACATGCTTGAGTGAAAGTGTTGGACTTATACTACCTGTTGTCTCAGTTGATTCTGACTCATGGAGACTTCATGTGTGCCAGAGTAGAGCTGCACTCCATAAAGTTTTCAATGGCTGTAGATCACCAGGCCTTTCTTCCATGTACTGCTGTGTAAATTTGAACAGCCTAACCCGAGCACAAACCATTTACACCAGCTGTTGTTTTTGTTGTTGTTAGGTGCCATCGAGTCAGTTCCGACTCACAGCAACCCCATGTACAACAGAACGAAACACTGCCCGGTCCTGCGCCATCCTCACAATTGTTGCTATGCTTAAGCCCTTTGTTGCAGCCACCGTGTCCATCCATCTCATTAAGTGTCTTCCTCTTTTTTGCTGACTCTCTACCAAGGATGGTGTCCTTCTGATCCCTCCTGACAACATGTCCAAAGTATGTTAGATGTAGTCTCACCATCCTGGCTTCTTTTTTTTTTTTAAACTTTGTATCACATTTTATTCTTTTTTAAATTTTTGTAGTTTAAATGAAGTTTACATTTCAAGTTACTCTCCCATACAAAAATTTATACATACATTGTTATGTGACCCTAATTGCTCTGCCCTTACTGTGACAGCACACTCCTCCTTTCCACCCCTGATTCCCCATGTCCATTCAACCAGCTCCTAACCCTCCCTGCCTTCCCATCTCACCTCTGGACAGAAGTTGCCGTTTTATCTCTTGTATCTACTTGAGCTAAGAGGCACACTCCTCACGAGTATCACTTTATGTCCCATAGTCCAGTCCAATCCCTGTCTGAAGAGTTGGCCTTGGAAATTATTTTAGTTCTGGGCTGATAGAGAATCCGGGGGCCATGCTTTCCAGGGTTTCTCCAGTCTCAGCCAGACCATTAAGTCTGGTCTTCTGACTAGAATTTGAGTTCTGCACCCCACCTTTCTCCTGCTCCATCAGGGACTCTCTGTTGTGTTCCCCGTCAGGGTGGTCATTGGTGGTAGCCGGGCACCATCCAGTTCTTCTGGTCTCAGGCTGATGAAGTCTCTGGTTTATGTGGCCCTTTCTGTCTCTTGGGCTAATACTTTCCTTGTGTCTTTGGTGTTCTTCATTCTTCTTTACTCCAGGTGGTTGAGACCAATTGATGCATCTTAGATGGCCGCTTGCAAGCTTTTAAGACCCCAGATGCCACTCACCAAAGTAGGATGCAGAACATTTTCTTAATAAGCTTTGTTATGCCAGTTGACCTAGATGTCCCCTGAAAGCATGGTCCCCAGATCCCTACCCCTGCTACTCTGTTCCTCAAAGGGTTTGACTGTATTCAGGAAACTTCTTAGCTTTGGTTTAATCCAGTTGTGCTGACTTCCCCTGTAGTATGTGCTGTCCTTCCCTTCACCTAAGATAATTCTTGTCTGCTATCTAGTTAGTGAATAATCCTTTCCCTCCCTCCCCACCCTCGTAACCATAAAAGAACATTTTCTTCTGTGTTAAAACCTTTTCTTGAGTTCTTATAGTAGTGGTCGTATACAATATTTGTCCTTCTGTGACTGACTAAATTCACTCCGCATAATGCCCTCCAGATTCCTCCATGTTATAAGATGTTTCACGGCTTTATCATTGTTCTTTATCCTCGCTCATATCTATTCTTGAGATGGTCTCTAAATTCAGGTGAGATATACTCAAGGTTGTACTTTGGCTCTGGTCAATTTGTTTCCATTTTCTTCAGTTGCAACTTAAACTTGCATATGAGCAACTGATGGTCTGTTCTGCAGTCGGCCCCTGGCCTTGTTCTGACTGATGATATTGAGCTTTTCCATCATCTCTTTCCACAGATGTAGTCGATTTGATTCCTATGTATTCCATCTGGTGAGATCCACATGTATAGTTGCTGTTTATGTTGGTGAAAAAAGGTATTTGCAATGAAGAAGTCATTGGTCTTGGAAAATTCTATCATGCGATCGCTGGCATCATTTCTATCATCAAGGCCATATTTTCCAACTACTCTCTTTTTCTTTGTTTCCAACTTTCGCATTCCAGTCTCTAGTAATTATCAATGCATCCTGACTGCATGTTCCATCAATTTCAGACTGCAGAAGTTGGTAAAAATCTTCAGTCTCTTCATCTTTGGCTTTAGTGGTTGGTGCGTAAGATTGAATAACAGTCATATTAACTGGTCTTCCTTGTAGGCATATGGATATTATCCTATCACCGACAGTGTTGTACTTCAGGATAGATCTTGAAATGTTCTTTTTGACAATCAATGCAATGCCATTCCTCTTCAAGTTGTCATTCCCGGCATAGTAGACCATATGATTGTCCGATTCAAAATGGCCAATACCAGTCCTTTTCAGCTCACTAATGCCTAGGATATCAATGTTTATGTGTCCCATTTCATTTTTTACGATTTCCAATTTTCCTATATTCCTACTTCGTACATTCCACATTCCGATTATTAATGGATGTTTGCAGTTGTTTCTTCTCATTTTGAGTTGTGCGACATCAGCAAATGAAGATCTCGAAAGCTTGACTCCAGCCACATTGTTAAGGTTGACTCTATTTTGAGGAGGCAACTCTTCCCTAGTTGTCTTTTGAGTGCCTTCCAACCTGGGGGCTCATCTTCTGGCACTATATCAAAGAATCTTCTGCTGCTATTCATAAGGTTTTCACTAGCTAATTATTTTCAGAAGTAGACTGCCGGGTCCTTCTTCCTAGTTTTTCTCAGTCTGGAAGCTCAGCAGAAACCTGTCCACCATGGGTGACCCTGCTGGTATTTGAATACTGGTGGCATAGCTTCCAGCATCACAGCAACATGCAAGCCCCCACAGTATGACAAACTGACAGACACATGGGAGTTGTACCACCTAGGGGTGCTCAGTAATATTTCCTGGAAAATCAAGAGCTGTCAGATCTCTGTGCCCTTGTATATTCTGTTCCCACTGCTTGGAATGCCCTTCCCCCTTCTTTTGGTGCTCTCCAAGTCATTCTCCTTAAGCATCATCCCTCCTGACTCATGGAAGTTTACCAGATTCTCCACATTCAACCACTTCCTTCCTGTTTTGCTCCTCAATCTTTTATACTCACCCACTTTTCTTATTTTGGTTAGCATTTGTTTACTGTCTGTTTCCTTCACTAGACTGGAAGTTCCTAGATGCCTGGGGCCAGGTCTGAGTCCTCTCTCACCAATGTGCTGCTAAGCCGTTGAGCCATAGGATGAGACCCATGAAACCCATTGCCGTGGAGTCAATTCCAACTCATAGTGACCCTCCCTACTCCATAG